TATTTTCTCATCTTTTTTACAAAAGTTGGATTCCGCGACGATAGAACAATTTGTTTTTTTAAGCAATCCATATATATATATATATATATATATATATATATATATATAAATCTAACATAAATGAGGGAAGCGTGGCATAGTAGATAACACACTAATCTATAAAGCCAAAGACTCCAGGTCCTGGGTTCAATTCCTGGTAGAACCGAAAAATTGTATACGTTCATTCCTGTCTCGGAAGCCAATGGCAAATCACTGAAAAAATCTTGCCAAGAGCATTTCTCCATGGTAGCCATTAGGGTTTTAATCGGCATTAAACTGTAGGTCCTATATACGGTGCGCAACACCAGTTTATCAAAGAGAAAGATCATTATGTTCGAAATCGAACAAAGGAGTGATGAATGAGTTGCTCCTATTACCCAGTGCTTTTTCAGACTTGCTTTTCTTCTCCTTTGCTATTTCTTCGTTGCACTTACATTCACTCCCGAAAACAACATTAATTAAGATTAGTTATATACGCCACGATCGTGAGGCACTTTGCACAACATTCTCGATCGCGTAATAATTATAATTACAATTAAAAGTGTAGCAAGTATTAATTATAATTATTATAGCGAATTATGTTTCAATACTAGTCGCTATTTCGTTTTATTGTTAAGAGAAAATTTGAAAATATACGAAGTATTTTGCACTCCCTCCTCCCTTACTCTTCAAATGTTGCTGCGCGAATGATATCAAGGCTGTGACATGTAAACACAGCGCGTCATACGCCAATGGTCCGAACGTATTATTGTCCATTTATTGCCGAAATATTTTTTTACGTACTTTACATATAATTTTACATTTTACTTTACATTTAATATTAAAGTTTATAGGAGTGTTTTAGATTATATAGATTAATTAAATAATATTTGTTAAAGGATTTATGTATCAGAAAGCTTTTCTATGTTAATTACTTCGATTTTATGATTCAATTGTTTTTGCTCTGTGCGTTTGAATCTAAATTATATTTAAATAATTGAAAAATAAAAGATAAAGCGTCGCGGTCGAATTATATTTGATTTTATAAAATATCATTAAAGTAATAATTTCTTGTAAAAATTGATTTTACATCAAAATTATTAATTTATTATTTTAGATTTCTGTTTCTACGATTCTTATTTGATTAAATAAATAAATTACGCGAAATATGCGCTTCGTTTCGTTATTTTCCATTAAAAGCGATAATCATTTTTTAATTATATACTAATTATATTAAAATTGTAGAGTCTTAAGATTCATTTTATTTCCTTTAACTAATCATGCGTGAGATGCAATATGTATTTTCTCAATCGCGACATTTATATAAAATATAACAGACAACAAATTTTATATCTGCAAATATTACAGCAAATGTTTCAAAATATCTTCGCATTTGTGTGATAATAATTATACGTCGGCGTTATTTATTGATTTTGATTATCATAATTGATAATTCCTAATATTATCGATTTAATTATTCGTTGCATTTTCTTGCGAATTTTAAATCGCTATTTATCTTGTATTTTAATCATTGATTTATATCAAAGCTTGTTCTATCTTTTTTGAATATAATTATCTTTGAAATATTATCTTTGATAATTTATCGCAAAATGTGCCAGTAATGCAAATAGTTTCTTCTACAATTGAAGAAACGATCAATAATTTTTAATAATCTTTTTAATCGCGATTATTTACGTTAATACGTTATTTATATAAAACTAATTTCTATTCTTAAATTTTATTAATATATGTCAATTATTAATAATAAATATCGCCTAATTAATCATTGCTAATCTTATTTGTATTATATAGAAATTTTTAATAAATTTTATATTATACATATATTTTGAACTTTTGTGTAATTTTTCGTAACAAATTAAAATTATTTTTTAAAATTAAATTAAATTTATTTTAAAAATATTTAAAAAATGAAATTTAAATTATCATAATTATCAAAATTTTTAAAAACAATAAGCGGCTGAAACCTTCTGAAAGTTATTCAGAAAGATGATCTCGGAAAATGTAGGACTTGTGCTTCAGCGAATTTAGAAAATTTTAATTCTAACTATAATACATACGCGAGAATATATACACAGGGTGTTTCATTTAATCCGACCACCTAAATTTCTCGGAACCTAAGCAAGATAGAGAAAATGTTTTAGACAAAAGTTGTATAGTTTCAAGGGGGACATAAGATGGTGTTCATTAGTTGATCTTGAAGAGCCACTTGAAGGACACGCGAAGATCAGCTCCAACTTTTTAAATGGGATACCCTATATGCTTTTGCATATTCTTGTAGCTCATCTCAGAGCTTTCCAAAACACTATAATTAAGTTATTTTCATTAAGTACTTTTCGAGTTATGAGGCTTGAAATAATTTCTTAATTTTACATAAACCATAAAATATCTAGTAAACCATTCATTTTTCGATTATCTTACCTTCATACTTTTATGTACAAAATAATGAGAGGAATCAATTGGTGTAAAGAAAACACATAGTTGTTTCTAAGAAAAATATGTAATTTGCAATTAACAATTCCATATTTTTTCTTAAAAACAACTGTATGTTTTCTTTACACCAATTGATTCCTCTCATTATTTTGTACATAAAAGTATGAAGGTAAGATAATCGAAAAATGAATGGTTTATGTAAAATTAAGAAATTATTTCAAGCCTTATAACTCAAAAAGTACTTAATAAAAAGGTACTTAATTATAGTGTTTTGGAAAGCTCTCGAGATAAGCTACAAGAATATGCAATGAAAAATAGGGGTTCCATTTAAGATTTCAAACTTGCCCCCCTCACCGCCCAGGGGAGGGGTGGGGGGCTGATTTTAACGTCATTGTACGTCCCCCTCGAAATGACGAAATTTTGATTCTAACCATTTTTTCGTAGTGTGCTTATTTTTCGAGTTATTTGGCTGCCTAAGTTAAAAATGGGTCACCCTGTATAATCTTTCTCATATTAAAAATAAATGTTAAGATTTCACGAAAAGTTGTCAACAGCTAAAGAGTAATATTGAGATATTACCCATACAGCACAAAATGGTTGCAGAAACATTACATAAATATTCCAACGTAATAATGGAATATTGCATACACATTGCGAAATGTTGCTGCAATGTTGCTGCAGCATTGCAGCAACATTAAAATGTCCGCCCTCAGTAACATTACAATGTAACATTATAGTAATCTTACAATGTAACACTACAGAAATCTTACAATATAACATTGCATAATCTTACAATGTAACATTATAATAATATTACAATATAATATATCTTGGTGAAAATGAATATCGGAGCGTAGGTCGAATATAAGGAGAGAATGACAGAAGTGTAAACGAAGCTTTAGGAGCGTATACGCTTCGTTGTTCAATTTACGCCTCCTAAAAGCTTCGTTTAAACTTCTGTCATTCTCTCCTTATATTCGACTTACGTTCCGATATTCATTTTTGCCAGGGTGTCCACAATAATGCCATATATTATTATTTCCAGATAAATTTTGCAGTATACAAATCATACAAGATAAAAAAGATACATGATTATGCGTTCATAATTGCTTTGTACACTCAAAATATAATTTTTTGTTAATTTATTTATTATGAATATATAAAATAATTTCATAATTTCATAAAATTGCATTTCAAATACAAAACAACTACGAACTTTTGATCATATACTTTTTCTTGAATGTTTCATATGGTCATTGAGTTCACCTTTTAATTTCATCTTTTAAAATCTGAAACATACACAGCATTAGTAGATACTTATCACTATAAAGTTTAGTTTTGTGTGGAAATTTAATTAAAACAGTTTGAAAATTATTTTATTTTATTATATACTATGTATTCCAACATAACATTTATATATAACTTTTTTTTGGCATATTGCACTTGCAGTATTGCACTTTTATTATATATGTATGTAAAATATATGTTTGCTTTATATGTTCTTATATGTATTTGTGTATGTATGTAAATATAATACTTATATGTATATATGTAACATGTACGTTTTTATAATATATTATTACAATATATTTTTCTTTATTTTGTACTTTTAGTTTTCTTTTATTTTGTACTTTTAGTTTCTTTTATTTTGTACTTTTATTTTCTGTAGCAGTCTTATTGTTTACTCCATTAACTCGGTTTGTGTATTCTGTTGTCTGAAAACATAAGAATAAATCAAATTAAAAATTGTAACTATATTTTAATCAGGTCGATCTCATATTTAAGATAATTAAAATTTATATATGTAATTTTTTAATTATCTTAAATAAAACGATATTATATATATATATATATATATATATATATATATATATATCTTTGAAGAATCTCTCTCTTAAAATAGAACAATGAATACCTTTCTCTTTGAGTTCTGTAAACTGGCTTGGTAAGCCATTTTGATATAGATTCCGCTATCTCATTGTCTGTAACCGAACCATACATTGTACGGACAGCTTCTATAAAAATTATTAAAAATATTATAACTATAACTAAATAGTACTTATTTTAAATATAAATGTATATAAATAAACTCACGTATGATTATTTTTGTGAGACTTAAGTCTTTGAAACAACGTTTAGTTTTTTCCTGCCCAGCTAAAATCTTAGCCAAAGTATTTGTTATAATTTTTTTCAATATATTGCGTGTCATTATATGCGCAGTACTTCCACCTACCAATCTCAAAATGTAAAGCTGAAAAATAAAATTGTACAAATAATAACAGAATTGTTCGAAGTATCGTCTTATAGGCGATTCCCGTGGCGACATCCGAAGGACTCGGAACAAAAGACCTTACGCATACCCCTTCGCACACATGTCTTTTCGTTACACATGTCCCTTGGTCACATATGTTTTCTCTACCACGTCAGTCTTGTCTTGTACCGTGGACACGCTCACATCGTGCCGTCTACTAATAAAGCAACGATTACGGAAATCTCGGCATATTTAATCTCATTCCACTCCCTGTATATTTCCCTGCATCGCGGCCTCATCTTCATATTAACAAGAATAAATTTCATTATAAATATTTATATAAATTATAAAAAATAAGATATAATATGTACCACGTGATTTTAAATTTTGCTTCTTCCAATTGCCCCTCGAAATATGTTAATTCTGATATAGATGAAAGTGGAAATTCAATATGAAATTCTTCATTAATATATTACATGTCATCAAGAATATTTATTCTTTCAAGAATATTTATTTCTCTATTGTCAAGTGTGTCAAGTTTATATAAATTTTATTTAATTTTGTTAATATTGCTTCTTAAATTCTAAAATAAATATTTTTTTATAAACTTTGTTTTATGACTAGTATTATTTACTTCTAAAACGTTATATATAAAATACGTATATTTTTCTATTCCTATTTTATATAATTTAAAAAAAATTATTAAAATGTATAATAGTTACCATCAGAGTAAGTATTTTCTTGGCTGGTGTTCTCTTGAATAGAGCATCTTTTTAGTTTAAGATTGCTTTGGTTATTTGTATCAATTTTTTTGTTGACATCTATATAGGAAGATAAATTAATAAGAATATTAATAATGTTGCGCATTCATAAACATAAGTTATACATTATATGATTTTATGATACATTTATGATTATTATAGTATGATTGCCAGTTATTCTTATACTAGTTGCTTACCATGAACTATATTTATTCTATTATAAGTAGAATTCTTTCGGATAATTCATTACCAAAATTCTCTTTACATTTATCTCGCGATTTATAATTAGGCACAAAATGTTCTATTTGTGGAAAAGCAGGCAATATTTATTATTTTGCGTCATTCGATTTTCTTTATTCTCTTGCAAAAGAAATCTTCTGATGATGATGACATTTCTGAGGATGACATTTTTTTTTTTGCTTGAATCCGCCTTCTTTTTTTCTTTATTTCTTTTAATTCGTTAGATGAGATTTCAGTATTTTCTATATTAGATGTATCCTGTGCTAGGACCAATTTTTCATGCCTTTTTCATAAGTGTCTTATTTATGAAAATAAAATAAAAAAAAGAAAACAAAATAAAGACAACATTATACATATATGTGCGTGTACATACATACTACTTAAGAAAATAATTCATTTACCTGCTGTGCCGAAGATTCTCTTGATTGGTAACTCATCCCAATCAAATTCTTCCTGTGGTATTTCTTTTTGTTATTATTGCTTTATTTATGCGGAATTTGGTTTTAAAATGGCCAGGCCATATACACGATTGTTTTTCCGCATTGAACCATATTGTTGGTATTAACTGTAGTCCATCATCAAACTCAGCAATTATGAATCCACTATCATTCATTTTTCTCTGATAGCAGGTATAATAGTTGTACTTGTGTATATTTTAACATTATTATAAGAAATATGTGATTAATTAACATATTTAAAAGAGAGGAAATATATGATTAATTCTCATAAAATTATTTAGCAGAATGATTTAGCGGAAATATTGCGAATGTATTTGATTCATTTCTATAAGAAATTTTCCACACTTTATATAACACATCTGTAATTGGCCAAGAAAAAATATTATCACTACTTGTGACCATCATTCTAATATTAAATTGACTAGACTGGGTACAAGGTGTTTTATACACATCTCCTATATATTTAAGCTTCTTACCAATAAGAAAAATATCTTTATTATTATCTTCAATTATATTCAAACCAAAATACATACATTATTTTTTAAAATGCAACAATTATTACTAAAACCTTTGCATTTATAGTAAATATTTCATTTGATACTTGCAAGTATTGTGATGTAACATTAAGATCATTACATATTGGTCCATTTTTATGCAAATATTTACAAACATATTTCTTATTATTGCAATTATGTTTAATAACAATGAATCCATATATTCTTTTTCCTTATATCTGTTCATTAATTGTTGCACAGGTTTTTCATTTTTCTTAATTGTCTTTTTATACTTGTCATATAATTTCGAAACGGAAAGCACTGAAATTATCTAGTGGGCCAAATCTTCGTACGTCTGAACATAAATGTAGAAGGTTATGAATATTGTGTGATATATATTGTCTACCATACAATGTTTCAAAAGATTCGACGAAATTATTAAGTAAAGCTTCAGCATAATTTATAAAATTTTCTTGGTATAAGTTTGGACGTGTAAGAATTGTGATAGCCACATGAAGTGTGATAAAATGATAATATATGTCTTTTTTTAATATAGATTTTAATACGATAGGACCTGTATATAAAAGGAAGTTTCGAAATTCTACAGCTTTCCACAGTTTTACATCATTTATAGAGCGTGGTCTTCTAACAAATTCATTTGGAGTAGAGGTTTTAAGTAATATTAACAAATATGATATTTTGTTAATTGATCTTAAGTTTAAACGGACAGAAAGTGGTCCTTTCGTCCAAAGAAGTATCACTTTCTTAACTACACCTAAACATATAAGATGCATATAATCAAGTGGAGTATTGCTTATAGGTAAAAACTCTGGAATGTTATTGATAATACTGTAACCAGTTTGGAAATCTGTATAAGCGTTAATAGCAAACAATTCATCTCTCCTTAAAGGATATGATTTTGTTCTAAACGGAAAGCAGATTCTGCCATTTACATATTCCCCTTTAATGATACATTTGGTACAACTGTAAAATCCAGTATGACCTTTTACGCACAATACTAAAGATTTTGCAGGAGCATCACATATTAAATTAAACAATCTAATTTTGATAACATTGTTAGCATAAAGATAATCTTCCCTTATTAATTCAATAAATCATCTATCAAAGGTTGCAAATAAATATTAAAATTTTTCTGGTTTCTTATATCCAAAATATGCCCCAGCAAGATATACAGCATTATCTTTTGTATTGAACACAGATAGGCCATAAAGCCGCATGAGATGATTTTGCTAAAGGAAGGCCATCAATATTAACAAGTAAATTAATATGTTTATCATTAGATTTTAATAACATTTTTTTAACAATATTATTTAAGCCTAAATAAAAAAATTCACCTCCACATATTTTTATAATATTATTTTGTCGTGGAGTTTGCAATAAAGTTCTTGTATCTTTGGAAAGTTACAAGATGTATGTTTTTGTAAAATTTTTAATAATGCATTGCATGCATTATGGGGAATATTAAATGACACAGCCCACTCAGCTATAGCGTTTCTGAATTTTTCATCATTATCCTGATCATTAATGTTATTTACTATATTAGAATTCGAAGATTCATTGTTATTCTCTCTCTCAATAATATTATAAGGTAAGTAATTAAAATTTATATTTTCCATAGATATAATATGATTACTTTCAATATTTTCAATATTTCCATGAGAACAATTTTGTAAATCTAAGTCATTTTCGACAAAAATATTTACAGCATCTGATTGTTCTACAATTTGTCTAGAAGATCCCGCAATATCTATGCTTGTTTCATTCGCAATAATTCGTCTGATATGACGTTTCGAAACAGAAGTATTTTTATGTGAATTAATCATATTTAATTATATTAAAATAATAATTATATCATATTTAGTTAGATTAAAATAATAATAATATGATAATAATAATAAAATAAAAATAATAATAAGCTATTTATACACATGTACAATATGCTAAAAAAATAAATACATATTTAAATATACTGCTTAAATTATAAAATATGTAAGAATTAAAATTTCTATATTTTAGATTTTAGGAAGACCTATTTTAGGAGAACCTATGTGAATTCCTACTTTTAATGAGCAAAGTTTTTAGTATATAAAATGATAATATTTCATTTATAATTGTTTATAGTTATAAGTTTATAGTTATTTTCATTATTATCTGTATATTATAAATATCATATTTTTTATAGTATGATCCCAGATAGCACAGAGTTTAAAAAGAATTTATTTTTATGTCACAAAATCTGAGTTCACTTTCAAATGTAAAAAGAATTCTTTTATGTAAAAGAATTCTTTTTGCATCTGAAAATGAACTCAGATCTTGTGACATAAAAATTCTTTTTAAACTCTTTGTGCTATCTGGGAACTATACACACAAACATTCATACATGGAAATGTTGTTACAAAGAAACAAAATATCACTTTATATATTGCGCATATCATTTTATGTACTAAAACTTTATTAAAAATAGAGTACTAAATTCATATAGGTTAACCAAGATGCAAACGTGTATATTCATAGATTCATTATTTACAATTAATCATCTAAAGAGAGGTCAAATAAAAAAATATATAAAAATAAATTTCTCTCTTTCTTTCCACTTACCTTTTACCGTTTAAAAATTTTGCCAATAATTATGTTTATAATTTTTCAATATCAGAAAAATCACTGCCAGATTAGATATTTAAGCCTTTTCTTCTAGATATAATATCCGTACTTGAGCTTCTTTATTAGATTTATTTTTAATGATATATAAAATATCCAATATCCAAAACTAATCTGAAAATATCGTTTCAACTTTCAAACATCGCACATAGCATACAATCACAAACAAATTAGCACAATAGAGTGAATAATAATATGTAAATATAAAGTAAAACATAGAAAAAAGAAATATAAAATCAATAATAATTACACAATCGGAACGTGGCATGCAGGACAATCGCCATATTGTTGCACTTATTTATTACCACTACCACTTGTCACACACGTGTATACATGTATATCGTCGATAGCAGCGTCATAGCAGACGCTTTATTAAGATGTCTTTTCATACTAGCTCTTTGAAAGATACTTTAAAGCCGTAATCACACTATGGGTTGCGGGCTCGGTCGCGGTTGAAATTGACCAATCAGAGAAAAGCAATTTGCCGTTTGGCTACTCCGATTGGTCCATTCCAACCGCGACCAAGTTCGCAACCCGTAGTGTGATTACGGCTTAAGATTAGGAAAAACATAGTAAAATTTATTTAATAAGACTAAAGGCCGCAGCACCACTTTTGCATAAGCGCATAACCATAAGCATAAGGAAATTGATTGGTCCCCAAGTATATGCATAAGAAAATGAACCAATCAATTTTCCTACGCTTACGGTTATGCGCTTATGCAAAAGTGTGTGCTGCGGCCTTAAAGCAGTAAATCGATCTATTACTGTTGAGAATTTTTTAAGAGTCGAATTAATGACTGGTCTATTTGTCTAAATCTTACTATTTATGTTTTTTAAGTATTCTTAAATGTGTCTGTATAATATATAAGCTTTTTAGTAAACAAGAATTTTATTATTTATGCATGTTGTATGTATATATAAAACATGTATATACATACATATGTATATTATATATATATATATATATATATATTTTTTTAATTAAGAAACGATTATAAAATATTGCATGCTTCTGTAATGTTGCTGTAACATTCTCTCATGAAATGTTACACTTGTATATTCCTGCAATGTCTCTACAATATTACATTGCAATCTGCAATATTGCAACATTGCTGCAATGTATTGAAAGGTTCTGTGCTGTATGGGTATATATAATACTTAATATATATAATTACAGAACACTAATACTAGAGATCAACCCCGTTCCCACCAAGCAAAACGAAACCTGTCTTTCGTTTGAAATTGAAGAATTTAAACACAACCCAGGAATCTACTAAAAAAATCGGACATCTATATCAAACCGAGCAAACCTGAAAATTAGTCATCAAATTCGACATAACGGAATTAAATGATCGAACCT